CGCGTCCTTGGTGCACTCACTTGCTTGCGAAGAATAGAGTATTGCATTTTTTTTAATGCGAAGCATTTCTTAGTGAACTTCGGCGACTTTCAGCGTATCCATCCATCCATCCATCCATCCATCCATCCATCCATCCATCCATCCATCCATCCATCCATCCATCCATCCATCCATCCATCCATCCATCCATCTATCTATCTATCTATCTATCTATCTATCTATCTATCTATCTATCTATCTATCTATCTATCTATCTATCTATCTATCTATCTATCTATCTAGCCGCCTACGTCTTTTAGCTCTCCTGGCCGTTTCGGTAATGGTATCGATACCAAACTTTGTATGACATAACGTGACTGTATGAAGAACATATGTGACTAGTCAAGACATCAAAATCATGACATGTACGTTATGAATCTTGTGGGAATTGAGGCTAGCCCGCTGCCTTTGCGCGGGCTTTGCCGCCTTTTCTGCCGTTCTCATGTCCCGACATGTCTGCCCTCCTTTGCTGTCTGCCGCGCTGAGAGAGCGGAGTGACGTTTAACTCCCTCACCCGGTAGCGGATGTTGACTGTGGTGCTGCGCGCGGGGACTACTGAGAGGTTTTTCGCGCGCTGCGTCGGGAGCGGTCAGATACTCTCCGGGACAGCACACGGTGAGCCACGCTATCTTTTCGTCCGTCGACTCCCGTCAGTCGGGGGCTCGTCGGACTTCGCTGACGGCGCCTCGCGCCCAAGGCGAACGCTCACCCGCTGTTGCCCCGCTGCGTACGCACGGCCGAAGGGCGGTACGGTGTCCTAGTGCGTGGCCTAGCTACGCCGACCCGTCTCCCTCCGAAGCCAACGCGAGCGCCTTTGCCCTCGCTCGAGCAACGGGGCCTTTGTCCCGGTGTCTCCGTGGATCACCTTTACCGCGGAGACGTGCTCGTGGCACCCCTGTGTAGTACTTTGTGCCCGTGGCGTGGATAAGCCTACTTGCTTTCCCGCCGCGCCTTTTTGCAACGGGCTGTACTGCGTTCGGTGTTGCCACAATAAAGTGTTGCGACTTGAGCAGTATCGTGTTTCCCGCCACGGCGACGGTTAACGCGTGCCCTGCGGCTCGCTAAGACCGGACCCACGCTGGTGGGCGTACTCCTTCGGGATACGTGTACACCACACTGGCGCCCAACGCGGTATCAAAAGCTCTAGCTTTTGATTGCTCTTAGCGAGTCAGTTCGCCTGCGCGATTCGGGCTCGTCGCAACATGGCTGCTTCGCGGGACTTTTGTCCGCTGTCCCTTTTAGCGGATGCCGCGTTGCACACGGAGGCCATTGCCTCTATGGACGGGAACCCTTCTGCACCCGTCCGTGTCGGCACCCCCTATTGCGGTGACGACACGAGGCGCCTAGCCGCTCCCTTTGGAGATGGCGCGTCGCTTCGGAATGGGCCTCTTGCCCTACCCGAACGTTACGCACAAGCGCCTCCGACACCCATCCGTGTCGGCACCCCCTATTGCGGTGACGACACGGGGCGCCTAGCCGCTCCCTTTGGAGATGACCGAGTATTACTGGTGCAAACATGATGAACATGAGATGAGTGTCACGTAACAACATGACTACATGCTACGCTCGTGATGCGCTCTCAACCTTTCGCGAACTTCACATGTACAAACTCAGTATTGCGCGACGCGAATGGACGAAGTGGGTAAATGACACACCCAAATATGATAATGACGACATGCATGTCATGTACCAACATGACTACATGCTAAACTCATGATGCACTCGCGGCCGTTTTGCTAGCTCCATGTATACCAAATTCGGTGTTACGGGACGTCAATGAATGACGAAATATAAGACTGGTGCGAACATGATAATCCTGACGCCCACATTATGTAGAGAGAGAGAGAGAGATAAATAGAGAGGAAAGGCAGGGAGGTTAACCAAGCTTGGCTCGGTTGGCTACCCTACACTTGGGGTGGGGGAAAAGGGGAATAATAGAACGAAAAGAGACAGAAAAGAAGAGGAGTAAGAAAGAGAAGCATAAATAGTCCCACATTATGTAAGAGCATGACAACATAACACGCTAATAGCGTGCTCGAGGCCGTCTTGCTATAGCTCCACATATATTAAATTTGGTATCACGTGACCTGAATAGACGACGAAGGTAAACGACACATCCAACCATGACAATCATGATACGGAAGATATGTATGGCATCATTAACCTCCATCTTGTAACGTTGGGCTGATATTAAAGGGACATATTAACCTTTCTCATTGGTACATCGCATATGATCGGTTCCCACTGTACGTGGGATTTGCCAATTTTTTCGATCAACACTTGAATGTCTCTATGACCGGTTTCGATCATAGGAAACCTGCTTCTGGAAACCACTACTGCTGATGGCCTTCATGAGTTTAACACCATGCGTTCTGGACTGCACAACAACCTCACTACGCTTAAACGAATATTGGATGACAGCCATCCCGCTTTCAAATGCAAAGTTGTCTCTCGCTGTTACCATGGCAGAACCATAGTTATTTTTAGAACTTTCTAACTTACGTTAATTTGCAAGTCATGGTGACGTCGCCTGCATTGCTGCATTTCAACGCAATTTAAAGAACGATTATTCGTTTGCGCCTCAGCTGGACAAAGTATGCGAGTTCATTTCCAAAAGAGGTGTTATCCTGGATACTACACATGTTGATTTCATCATCGAATAGTCAATGGTCTCTGTGGCATTGTTTCAGTCGGATTGCGCTCAACCTCGCTTCCGACCTTGCGCTTGTTGTCAACCTTCGGAGAGGTATGATAAGCTATTAGCGTGGCCCGAGAATCACGGCGAATAGGTTTCGATGGCAGGGCACTTACGACCACGCTTTCATGACGCAACTTTGACCGCAATGCCCGAATAGCGATCCGTGCTTACGCCAGTGGCGTTCGCATGAATGAGATCCTCATGCACGGGGTTTCACGACGAATGCCCGCAGATTGTTGCTGCATCTATGTAGCTTAGGTAATTTGTAGCGTAATGGGCTCTGCCGGTGAATTATATCTTGAGGTCATTCAAGTAACACAAAATGTTATACAAATGAAATAAGAGGAAATCCAAGGGCTGGTTATATTTTGTTCGAAGCAACATTATTATTAACTAACCGACGATCAAGCGCATGAGAGAAGAGGAGATTGCTTTGCGTGAATAGTGATATAAACAAGAATAAAAGTGGCTCAAAATATCGCTTGTCGCCGCCAGGGACCAAACCTGCATCCTTCAAGTAACACGTAATATACCCTAATAATTTCACTACGATAACTGTCGTCCTTCCATCCGCTGGATGGGTGGTATTTGGGTATTTTACACTAGTCGGGCGCAATTCGCGCATTTTGAGCAGTCTCACAAGACGCAAGTTGTGCTGAATACAGCCTTAACATGTAAATATTTATGCCTGAGAGTTTCAATCAGCGCCAATAGTGGCCCTTACGGTGAGTTCGGAGCTCTCTTTTTCATACCAGGAAACTATACATGGCGTTTGTATAAGATATAACGTCGCCATATCAGAACATGGTTATATAACGCGCAGTTAAGAAGGGCTCCGAAAGTTTTGCCGATCTCGTGTTTGTATTCTTGCGAAAAGAAAAACGATCCCTTGAAATTTCTGATTTTTGCCTTGATTCATAGCGAGGGTATCGTTCTGGCAGAGGCCATGCTTGTAGGTAGTATTCGAAGAACTATTGGCCACCTGCCAGCCCGTAATAGTATCACGCGCTACATGACACGGAGAGGCAGAAAGAAAAGTGTAACAAACGCACCATCAGAAAATGCAGTCGAAAAAATAAAAGAGGACAAACATACGAAACGCAAGTTTTGCCAACATTTTGGAAGGTGGGCCTGCCTTTGTCAGAGGAAAACTTTAGAGTGAGGAATACTCGCCCTCAAGCTTTGCACTTTTTTGTGAAACTGCACATTATTCAGTCCATTCAACTCGGACAAAGATTACAGCCATTCAATATTAGAGAAGTATTTGCCACTATGATAGCAAAGTATACACACACACACACACACACACACACACATATATATATATAGGATAAGGGAAAGAAGTGTATACCTAAGGGCTCGTTTTTCCGTGTTTTAACACAATATTAATGAGATCGAACAGACAGTAATGCGAAGGAATGTACAGAGGAAGATACTAGAACCAATGAAATGTAGATAAGAAGGAAGAAAAGTGTGTGAAGAAATAACCAGCCGTGAGCAGGAATATATCTATATATATATATATATATATATATAAGAATGAAGGAGCACACTTACGAAAATTTGATAATTGTTTACTCTACGTTTCGGCCGTGGCACGGCCTTCGTCAGGATTAACCAAATCCTGACGAAGGCCGTGCCACGGCCGAAACGTAGAGTAAACATTATCAAATTTTCGTAAGTGTGCTCCTTCATTCTTAATTATATTTGCACCGGACCCAGAGAATTTCTTTTTTGAATCATCTCTCTCTCTCTCTCTCTCTCTCTCTCTCTCTCTCTCTCTCTCTATATATATATATATATATATATATATATATATATATATATATATATATATATATATATATATATATATATATATATATATATATATATATATATATATATATATATATATATATATATATGCTTATACATGTACATATATACATCATGAAGTGTGTGGAAGGATTGCCGCCTTGCTGCTGTGGTAGCTCAGTTGGTAGAGCATCGGATATGTTATTCGAAAGTCACATGTTTGACCTATGTTCAAGGCGACTTACATTTTGATCCACTTTTCTTTCTTCGCATTTACACTACACATGTTTCTAGTAGCATCCCCTATACTTTCCTTGGCGGTGTTGTTGGTTGGTTCTCGTTTATATTGTGTCTAAGAACGAAAAACAGGCCCGTAAAATTTCCACTTCTTTCTGACACCACACAGTATTTCGTCCATTCATGTCTGACAATGCTTACAGAAATAAAGTATTTGGGCAGTGCTTACCTTTCTTTTCCTGTCAAAGTAAGCTAAAATATGGTGATAACCAGCAGCAGAATGTTCAATCAGGTGAGATCGAACGCAAATCGGGTAATCATTTCGAAAGAAAACTGAATGACTCAAAAAGAGTAATGACGGTCCTCCTATAATCTGCATCAGGAGCAAAAACAATGCGACTAGTTAATAATGTGCAGAGCACAGGCGTCAATGCGTATATTCATGTCTGCTAATTATACCAGTACATAACAACTGCCTGAGCTCACGCTAGCCAGAAATAAAATGTAGGCGAACGCAATTCACGACAACACAATCAAATGCACGTTACTCATTACTGAAGTTAGCTACGCTTTTTGTGTTCTCATTATCTCTGGTTATGTTAGCCAGGGAACCCTGTAGAGACTGTGTCGAAGGGAAGTAGTGGCAAATTATTTGGCTTCTCCTAAAGAAGAAAAGACGGCTGTGCCAAATGGAATGCGGGTGCTCTGCGCATTCTTGAGGAAAAGATATTTGAGAATTTATTTCAGTTTAACGTCAAAAGAACGTGAAATGACTTCTCCGTGCAAAAGGACAGCTTATAAATTTTCGCCGTTAGTATGCTTTGAACGACTACCGAAATACATGCAAATCAGGGTTTTTGCACTCTGCAAACTGCTGGAATGTAGCTAGCACAACTGTCAATCTATGTTCTAGTGCAGTTGCAAACCGCTAAATTTATTCTTTCCGAAGGGGGAAGAGTGAAACGGCGAGAAGAATATGTACTTGAAATTTTAACGCGTAAATATTTTGTCCAATATGTTCTGGTGGAAGACCTCTATAACTTATAAACCGCTTGAAGTCAGTTGGCGCCAAGAACACAAGAGCAACAATTATGTGTTTATTGTTTCCTGTTTTCTAACCTTAACAAAATTATTCACCTGACGCGAAAAGTGAACTGTAGTACTTGACAGGTGTGCTCACCGACCATATAGATATTGATATTGACCATATAGATATTGTTGCCTGTCACGAGGACACTCATATCACACATTACTTCACTAAAAATATTTTTGGTCAGTGCCGCAGCATCTGTACCTATATTTCGCATTACTAAAGAGAAATAAACAAATTTATACTCTACAGCTTAACTTCTGGCTATTTAATTCATCCGATTCTACTATACGCTTTTACCCAAAAGTATTTTACGTCAACAGCACCACAGTTGGTGAGAGTCTCTTTCAGGAAGTGGAAACACCAAGTTGAGATTAGGAAATTCATGTTCCGTTTTTGTGCAACTTCAGTCGAAATGCTGGGCCCATGAGCACAAAAGCATTTGACGCTAGATTGGTCCTTTATAAAACGATCGGCTATTCATACAGGCAAATTTCTGGTAATCAAACCCAGTTCACGGATGACAACTCTCACTTACGAAAAATTTCGATGTTAGTTTGACCCCAGCAGTCTTATGGTAATCGATTTTGTTTCAAGAAAGTAGACACCTTGCTCTTTTTATTTTCTTCGTTGCGCTTGTGATTTCTGATATCCCTTAATCTCATCTACTCTACCACTTCCTAAAAATAAGCTATGAAAGAGTGAGAGCACTTGAAAAACTTTATGTAAGAAATGTTTTCCATGCAGAATGTTTTCGCTAGCCCATGCCTAAAGGTGTTGACTTTCACGTAGCACAAGCCACTGTTGCTTCAGTATGTAATGTTCATATTTAATGACAATGAGTGGAAAAAATGTCTCCACTGAGTGCTTACCCTTCTTACAAGCTGCTTTTTGTCATTGTATTGCAGTACTTTTGTGTTCTCTTCATCGTCTGCAAAAGAATGCGATATAAAGAAAAACGGACTTAGTGAGTAGCTAGGCCGCTCAAAAGTTACGTATAGCTAACGATGATACCAGATAATGCCCTAATGCTTTGAATATGTTTAGTTTTACTTGCTTTGCGGCCCGTACAATATAAAATAACTTTGTAAAGTTCTTACTTTTTTAATTCTTTTTTTTATGATGGGCTCTGATGGCTGTATAGTTACTGCTTATTTTTTCCGGCATTTTTACATATGGCTTTGTTCACACTTATTATACAATGCCTCCTGTGACTATGAAAATTTTTATCGAATCGAATGCTTTCTCAATTATATAGCGGTGATATTTAAGGGCTGGTTGTACTCCGTGCTTTTCTGTACGACCTGATTCACAATATGGGTGATGTCTAATGTCGAATATAAAGCCCGAAATTTTTGTTGGTCTTTTATCTCGTTGAATTCTAGCACAGGCACGAGTCAATCAATAGGTGGCTCTCGTTCTATTAATGATTATGTTCATAAACACGTGTAACATGTAGGCAACACAAAGTAAGCTGATTGGCGTGTAATTTAATTGTAGACATTGATGTGCAATACGCAGATGCTGACATTAATAAAAGATTCTGTTGTGCTCTCAGTAATTAAAGACTTCCTATGTAGCAAATTCTTTAATACATGAAGCACTTCGGATTTTTCTGGCACGATATATCCCCAGTTTTTCGAAAGATCTCATGTGCCCTTGATCCTCGCCAGACGCTTTGCCTTTTTACGTGCTGTCCCACGCTTTCTGTACTTGCTCTTGTTGTACAGGTGGCGTGTTTCATTCTTACCAAACATTACTTGCAGCGAGAGTGAGAGTGATGGAAATAAATATTTCAATACCTGGGCAACGCTTTTAGCCATGTAGCGTGACAACAATAAAAAATTAGGGAAGCTTGTACCAATGATGCCAAGCAAAAACTGAGTGCAGAATTGGGCAGGCTTTTTCTTCTTCTTTTCAGTTTTCTCTTTTTTTGCCATACTTTCCTTCTTTCTTTTCCTCTTTTCTAGTGTTTTTGCGTATTGTCCTTCTTATTTCTACTTAATTCTATCATCGTTAAGAGGCTCGAAGAACAAGAGGAGGAAGACTAGTCCTTGGTGCAACTGCGCGCTTGAATGTCTGTGCCACATTTGAGGTTTTAATCATCGTCATTGTCATCATGATCATATGTGGTCTTGACTGAGTTCCTTGCAAGCTGCGACAGCATACGACGATACTGTAGTAGCTTGGCGATACAGCATCGCTGCCAAGCTATCAAAAGTGTTCCGCACTTAAAAAAAAAACGACCACACATATACATCGACTGGCTTGGGTTGTATTGTGCTCTTTGCCATCTAGCAGGTACGTTGTTTGCATTTTATTCCACCGTCATACGACCACTTTTGATAAGGACTGGGGTCGATCTCAATCGAACTGCTTGATCTCAATTATGTGTGTCGCTGCTACATTGTATAGACTAATTCCGATCAAGTCAGGCACACACATCACCCAAGTCGGGATCATAAAGTCAAATCCCGATGAGCAAATCACGATCATCTCCATGGGTTTCGATCGCAAATAAATGTTACCATGTAGCAGCACTTCATCTGGATTCGCCCTAATTGCGATCAGAAGTTCCCGTGTGGCGCCAGCGTTACTTTTACCGGTACTTTTCAGTTGCAACTAACTCTGCAGAACAGGTATCACTGTTCTGATATTTTTCGTTCAAATCAATTTCTGTACACTAGCTGTCGATCCGTTCGCTCCTTCCGTGAATAACGTTTTGTAAAGCATTACTTATTTATTGCTCAGACCGTAAGTCAATATGTACCTAGAATCTTTCAATTACTAGTGTGTTTAACAGAACAGAATATTATGATAATGTACTTCATTTTATATATGTCAGAGGTGCATCATATAAGCTAGGAGCCTTTATAATCAGTGACACAAAAAATGAAACGTTATCAAAGTGAAAGTACATACGCTATCAAAAAGAAATAATTTTGAAAATTCGTAAAGGGTGAGATCACCCTAAAACTTGCAATTACATGTAATATAAAATTAAAATATTTAAACTTTGTTAAACAGAATAGTAGATAAATGACTTTGTTCTCCCTACTAGTGACTTGTAAAGTATATGCCGATCTCGCATTTTACACACTCAAACATACAATTTTTATCTACATTTCAATAAGCAATGACCTAATTACTCACTGTTTCCCCGGCAAAAAAAAGTCACCACAAACATCACATATAGAGGACAAATAACATATTTCATGGCTTTCTTTCTTCAACTCCGCTGGTGGCACCTAGAAAAAAAAAAGCACTGTCATCATCCCTCTATTATATGTGTCATTTCTCACGAGTGTTGCCGATAATAATAAAATGAAAAAAAATATAGAGAGAGATCTTTTGTGGCAAAATGGTTTACATCTACCAAAACGTAATAAAGCAATTGCATTTTCTGTGCCAAGGCATGCCACAAGGCAGAAAAAGACACCGTCTGACTACCGCCCACCACCCACATATTAGCAGCGCTACAGAATGTCGAAACAAGAGAGTGTTGGACATGCTACTTATCTGCGTAGGCTCTGGGCGAAGAGAGTGCGGTGCTCTCTTGCGCCTCGTAATATCACTGTTTAGGTCGGAACTTCTTGATAAGAGCCAGATTACGCTGTTTAAGATTGTTTACTAAAGCTGAAAGCTAGAGCCCATTTGGTTTGTCTTATTGGTGCGGGCTGGGGAAACGGTGACCCACAAGCCAGTGTCTGCCGCGAAGGATGGGAGGGGAGTGTCCCTTATATTCGACCATTCCGTCGATACAGGTGGCGCAACGGTACGTTGAGATGGCGGACGAGACGGTGATGTCGCCAGCGTGCACGTCAGCGTCGCAGAGCGTGAAGAGGTGTTTTTTGGTTTATGACTACTGAGAGGCCAGACTGCGTCACTGACTGTGTCGTAGATTATCACCGTGTGACAGCTTCGGTGCATGGCTGCATGGCACCGCCTGAATCGCTGGAATGATCGAATATACTATATATATGAAGCTGACAGATTGTAATGTATGGGTATATCAGGAATCGGGGAATGTGGTCATATATAGATATATGCCATGTACAGCCCCGCCGTGGTGGTCTAGTGGCTAAGGCACTCGGCTGATGACCCGCAGGTCGCGGGATCGAATCCCGGCTGCGGCGGCTGCATTTCCGATGGAGGCGTAAATGTTGTAGGCCCGTGTGTTCCGATTTGGGTGCACGTTAAAGAACCCCAGATGGTCGAAATTTCCGGAGCCCTCCACTACGGCGTCTCTCATAATCAAATGGTGGTTTTGGGACGTTAAACCCCAGATATCAATGCCATGTACAGCCTAATACGCCCAATGGCAGACTAGCGTTGTATAGGCGGCGCGCCGTACAGGGTGCCTGGCGGTTAGTCGTGAAGTAGCTCCGCCGATGCGCCCAGACAGCCGGCCACGGTGTACCGCCGCTGCCGGTATAGACCGATCGCATGTTTGTGAACACAGGTAGGCTGACGTCAACATTATGGGTAAAATTATAGCGACGTCCGCACGTAACTTCCGGCATAAGCATTGAGGGCTGTGATGTGCGCCAACAAATCGACGTTGTGAGACGCCTTAAGCGTTGTGAAAGCCATAAACGCTGAAGGCTGCGATGTGCGCCAACAAACAAAATTAAGTTGTGAGACGCGACTCGCATCCAGCCGCGAAGCAGCTCGTCGGCATACCGTTTTTTTTTTAAGGGGCGAAGCTCCATACAGCAGCACCTGTTCGTCCCGCGTCCCGTCGTAGTATGTAACCAGTCTTACGCTTTGACCTGCAAACATTTTGACTTCCAAGGTGGTGCCGGTGAGAGATTCCTTCTGTGCGTTGTTGAACAACAAAAAATAGTGCTCAATGTACGTGCCAATAGCTGATAATGGGGTTAGAGAGACAGGAGCATTCGGCTTTTAGTTAACGTGCACGCTGCAATCACCATTAGCAGCCATTGCATGTACATTGAGCACTATCTGAAGGGAAAGGGTTGCTACGTTATACCCGCCTGGTGTAACCACCTTAGTTATAGAAAGGTTTAGCGAGCGTTGAGCCGCAGTGCCATGAATACAATGAACTAGTATATACCATGAATGAACTCGAGTTAGTTAAAGGTGGGAAGTGGGTACGAAGCGCAAGCCGTAAGAAAGTAAAAGCCGAATTCTCCTGTCTCTCATTTCCCATGCAGCCATTGGCATGTACATTAAACTCTATCTGCCAGGAAAAGGTTGCTACGTTATACTCGCTGGGCGTAAGCTCCTTGGTTTTAGAAAGGTTTAGCGAGCATTGGGCCGCAGTGCCATGAATACAGTGAACTAGTATACACCATGAACTCAAGGTAGTTGAAGGTGGGAAGTAGACCCGAAGCGCAAGCCGTAAGAAAGTGTGCGTGTGCCACCTCTCGTTTAGTCCTTGGAATGTCCACTGAATGGCGGTGCTTCTATATGGGGAATATATTATGAAAAGATGCGAGATGGTGGGACTTTGATTGTTGAATAGATGGACGAACGGACACACAGACAGATGCATGGATGGACGCATGAACGGACGCATGGGCGGATGCATGAACGAACGCAGGGACGGGCGCACGAACAGACGCATGGACGGTCACACAGACGACCGCATGGACGGACGAATGCTTCGCCCCACTCTCCATCATTCACTCCGTGGATATGCTGCAATTTTTTTTTCTCGTTGCTTGACTGAGAACACCACATGCACCATTGAAAACCTAGCAGAAACTGGTAGGCAGGGCGTCTTTTGCCTACCAAGACAGCGCCACCGCATTTTCTTTCGTGACGCAAGTCCGGTGGAGTTTGTCTATACCTAGGGGAGAGCACATGCATGCACTGTTTTCGTGCTTAACTTTCGCACGAACAGCTCGAGCAGCTCGAGCAGCCACTGCACGGGTCATTCTAGACTGTGGTTATGAAAAACAAATTTCGTTCGAAGGCTTGTCTGACATGAAAGCACTGTAAAACGAAGAGCTCTGCCAATCGGACTACGCCTATGCTTACATCATCAAAAGTACAGTGCTGTGCCGTGATGGGTATTCCCTCATCTATTTTTTTTTGGCTGCGTGCTGAGATTTGGGTCAAACTAGTACAGGCTGGCACGCCTGAACTGATAAGGCGTGCTGCGTCGTTAGCTTGCTGCTCACATCTGCAGCAAATATATATATATATATATATATATATATATATATATATATATATATATATATATATATATATATATATATATATATATATATATATATGTATATATATATGTATATATATATGTATATATATATATATATATATATATATATATATATATATATATATATATATATATATATATATATATATATTTATGTGTGTGTGTGTGTGTGTGTGTGTGTGACGCTATGATGAATGGCAGACGTGGCCTGGCTCATACCCCATGTTTATTCTGTTCTCACTTCTTCCTTCTCGGCTTCTACCAATCATCGCTTCATACGTCACACGATTCCCCCTCCCCCCGAAAGAATGCGCGAGCTACAATCTAGAAAGCATGAACAAATGGAGTCTTATAATAGAAAAATAATGCCAGAAAATGCAGTAGTTCCATGCCACACGGCAGTTCCATGCTCTTGCCAAAATGTTCACAGGAAAGGCAGTCCAGTGATATCTAGGAGACCTCAGGTGGGCGAGGCTGATGGTTGCGTCCTGGATAACACAAGAATTCTTTGGACGTGGAGATAGCGGAAATCGCAGCCGGTATTCTTGTGAAGAACAAACGAGGTTTGAACACCTTGCAGAATGGACAGTTCAGACATCGTAGGCATCGAATTTTTCGTCGTCGCACAGGTCGTGCAGGCAGCTTGCGTGCGCGTTGATCGAGGTTGATTGGGCGCTGCCTGTGTTTCTGCCGAGTACAAGGGGTGCTTTTGTGGCTTTTGGAAATTTTTCTATGGCGATGTCGCAGATGGTTTGATGGAAGGCACATTCTTGATCTTTGGTGGAGAATGTATCCACCACGATGGGCCTTTTTGCAATGTTCTTCAAGCCTTAAGAGCGCACTTGATGAAGTTTTGTTTCGCCGTGGACAGTGTTGAAGTATGCGTTGACGTTGTAAATTCTTCGTTTCGTCAACTTGCTTGTGGTGTGACATTGATCGTGTTGCGCCAGGATTCTTAGCGAGTCCTCCGCAGGCTTCTACGACGCCAACCAATGCAACTGTTTCCGGCGCAAGATAATGTGGCGGGTTTGATGCACTTGAATCGTCTGTATATATAAACCGTTCATTGTTGGTCGTTGCCTGAAGCGTACTTATGTCATCAGAAGTCGCACCTGCGGTTTTGTTTTCATTATATGCAGTGAGGTTGTATACTGGATTCACGTCGCTTCGATCTTGTGATTGATGAACACTCGACGCTTCTGCAGAACACTTTTCTTCACAAGATGCTGATTGTGAATGCTTGTGTCTCTGTGGAACTGCTGAACTGAATACTTTGAACAAATGAGATTCCTGTGAACATTCGTTGCCTGGGTTGGGTTCGTGTGGATTTACTAACTCGTCGTGCGTAAATGACGTCACGCGTCCGAAGCCGTGTGGGCCATGTGTGCGACACGAAGCATCAAGTGATTCTGGTTGTTCAGTAATACCTGAAGTATTATGGTGTCGTAAATACATTTGAAATGCCGATTTATTTGCCCGTGAAAAATCCAACCGTAATTCCGGTGTTTTGGCAAAATGGTCTACATTCTTATCGGCATACGGTGGCATTACCTTCTCTGCTACGACGTGCAAGTCCCTAGTTGGTGTTGTAATGCGTGAACTGTATTTGGATGAGTCATACGATGGTACAATGATGGGATATTTACTCTGAAGTCTTGTTTGGAAAATACGCTTACTGCGGGAAGACTTCGCGTAACTGTGATGGTTGATTTGAAGAGACTTCAGCGGATGAGGTATGTACAGGTCTTCATCGTATTCTTTGAAACGGGTGATCATTTCTTCTTTGATCTTTTTCTAAGACTCATCGTTCTCGAAGATGTGGGTGAGGTAAAATTTGAATGCCTCACCTGAGATGTAGTCAGTGAAGTTGATGATCATCTCCCGTTCCGACCATGATGCAGCGGTGGCATGGAGCTTGAACAGGTTAACCAGTCTTGTACGGGTCCGTCGTCCGCTGATCCGGTGTACTTAGGGATGTCAAGGTCTTCTGATGCTGCTGTCACGATGCTTGGTGGTCTTGGTGTTCCGCGTTCGGTCACTGCGTCTCGCTGAGGTC